TTTTGTGAGGAATTTGATGTTAGCACGTTGTTCTGCATTAGCACTCAGCATTATTCCGACGGAGCTCAGAAACACGATCCGCTTCTAACAATGGTCGCGGCCAGACTAACCGATGCACGTGAATGAAACTTTGTGTGACGGTAGAGGGAAGTCCAAGGGTCAATGCCCTACCCTCCTCTTCGTCAATGACGTGGCCGGAAATGAGTCATAAAAGTAATCCGGGTTCTTTATTGCCACACCTTGTATGATGCAATTATGATATGATATGATATGAAATATGCAATTTCCTCTTTAATTTCATACCAAAAGAATTACTTTATGTGAAAAACAACAGTTCAAAATAAAGTTGAACCTTACCACTGCACCATGCGTGCTATATATGTCAGACGGCACCATGTGATAGAAACTGCTGGTGTGCCATGTATCGACTATGGTGCTGAAAGGTTAAAGAGGGAGTCCGTATGGTCCACCCCTTACCGTAAGTAGTCAAGGAACAGGTAGGCAGACATATTAATGACTTGATCACATGTCATTTGATCCAGATATCCCACTTAGAATGGGCTTTCTCTATGTGGCCTATCAAGAAACCAACACCACATAGAAGTAAACTACACATGTTCATTCTTCAAGGGACGTCAGTCATTGGACATGTCAGTGACATGGAAGGATGTTGCTCCATAAAAGACCTGATAAAGGATATAATAAATGGCCAAGCTCCAGGAAATGTTATAGAAGCAAAAGCATACCTAGGGATATCAGTTAATATTGGACACTTAAGCCAAATTTGGGATCTAACCTCAAACCATTCTGTAAGATGACAGAAAACAGTCTATGGGACTGGAACGTAGAATGTCAAAGGGCTTTAGAACTCAGTATATTTTTTTTATTCGCTTAGTGGGAGGTGGAGTCCAAGTGGGTCCACTTGGCACGGTGGCCAGTAGTTGGTCTATTGTAGCCTGCCCCAGGTGATTATGATGAATTTGGTAGAATGAAGATTGGCAGGGTGAACCGAAGTACTTTGTGAAAACCCGCCCCAGCGCCACTTCGTCCACCACAAATCCCGCCTGACCAGACCCGGGATCGAACCCAGGCCACCACGGTGGGAAGCCAGTTACTAATTGCTTGAGCTATGGCGTGGCCTAGAACTCTCATGAACTGCTGCCTCAATATGATTCAAATAAACTAGGCACAAGTAAGAATAGATTTTTAGTTAGAGATAAGAATTTGGAAGAAATTCAAGATCAAGAAAAGAACAAAAATGTTCTCCAAAAGACCTATTTCACTGTAATAATTTGAAACATGTAATTTTTTGTGTGTTACTGTATCTGCCCAAAAGGAAGGTGATTATGAATGTAAGACAACCTCCCCCTCCTCCCACCAGGAAATACATCTCCAAAGGAAAAGAAATTTTGTATTAATTATACACCCTTACTCGCAAATGTGTTAAAGATAATAAACATTAAAAAACATGTTATATGTGAAATTTACTGAGTTGCTTTCCTACTCGAAGTCACTAGCTTTCATTCAGCTCCATCAGCCTTGCTCTGTTCACCATTCCTATCATTTGTCTCAGCTTCAGTGTCTTGACAATTCCCATCTTCTGTCTCACAGTCACTGCTCACACACTCACGTCTAATGCGACATTCCCAACACCTTCCCTGTCATTCCTTCCGTTCACATTACTGTAGTTACAGCACTTTCTAATTCCTTTGACCATCACTTACCAGTTCTGCCAGAACTGCTGTTCCATTCAGAATGCAACTGTGTCAAATGATCCTTAAATGTCTCAGTTCACTAGAACATGTAGTTATGAATTCATCCCTGCAGGTATGACTGTGTGAATCACAGATCTGATGTTCCATGTTAAATAACCTTTAAATGCATCCAGCACAAAACACTCCTTGTTGTCTCAACCCTACTCGCAGTCTCCCATTCCAGACAAATTACACCCTATCCCTCTTCAGTTCATTTTGCCATCCATCCTTTACTTTCACACATAACTATCAGCTCTATTGGTACCTGTGCATGAGACACAGTTTTTCAATTATGTACAGTGGCAGTATTGTGCTGTCTGCCAATTCTGTCAACATTACAGTCACAGATCTTTTCACTGCTGATGTTTTTAAGATAACAGATTTCACATCTACATCAACAATGTTGTAATTAGATTGTGTATCAAAATATACCAGCAGTTCACTGCTATTGCCTTGAAGAGTGAAGGTAAGTTCTTGCAAAATGAAGGTTTTCATTATAAGGAAAACCTATTCCTCTAATTATTTGCATATCCCACCCTCAGGTAGAATTTCATCTTCAGTCTGTCACTGAGTAACAACACTGCAGGAAACTGACACTTCATTCTATCTTTGAATCCATACAAACAATTTCTGTATACAACTGGTGCAAGTTTTCACTGTTTCCACCTTCAGATAAACATTCATAAAACACTGCAATTTCTTGCCACTTCATAGCTGTCAGTTCTACATTATTAATCATCACAATCATCTAAAACAACACAATTTTGGCACCCTGTACTTCTAACTATTCTTCATGTGATGTACGGTTTTTATGTTAACCAAACTCTGCATTAGAAAAGAATCTCACAACATCGTAAATCGGTGAACAAATGCTTTTGTCTCGTAACTCTGATGGCACTTAAGGCAAACACCTGGCAGCTCATGGCTTCACCTTGAAACCTATTTCTCACTTGTTTTTCTCACACCACAGGAACGCAAACCTTGCCAGGAACACACTCAATGCTCAAAGGATAAAGAGCATCTAGTATATATAGGATACAAATTTATCACAACCAGCAGTTTTTCAACTCTCAAAATGAGAGAAATTTAAACTTCCATTCAGACAAATGTGATTTATGGCTATCATGCAAGGCAAAAGCTGTTATCAGAAAATTTTTGAAATTTGAAAATAGAAAAATTACATGCATATCAAGAACAAGAAATTTTTTCTCAATTCAATCTTGCAAATTCAAAGCTTTTAAATGCCAAAAAAAAACGCACTAGTCACAACTGATGTTACACCTAATGGAGTAGGTGGAGTACTGTACCACAGACTGTTGGCATGGAAAGATCTGCACTTTTTACTTCCAGCACACACTCAAAATCTCTTTCCCATATTATGATGCAAGGACACAGTGGAATGAGAACAAATTTTTAATAGATGTTACAAGAGAATTACTGTATGGCACATATCACAAATGGCAGGGAAACTAACATCAACATGGTACCATTTGGACATTTCTGTAAAACATCGAATAAGTGTGAATGCAAACTACTGCTTTTACTTACCAACAATTTCACATCAAGCAAAGTACATGACCTTCTTCGTGTCAGCATGTACAGTAATGGCACGTGCCATGGCACCAGGAGTTCGATCCTCACTACATCCTGACTGATGAGAACCTTCTCCACTGAAATCAGATAATTGTTAAACCAACGTTATAAAACATAGAACAGGACCATTAACTGTGAACAGTATCCTGAAGAAACTTGGTAAGAACACTAAAAATCAGAAATGGAAAGTGAACTAAGATGTCAGGAGAACATGTGGCCCTAAGCAGAAGAAATAACAGAACAGATAACACATTACTAGTATCATAAAATTATAGTACAAGGAAATCAGAATACACAGCCACAAGTTGTAGGATGGCAGTAAATAATGAACTTGTAAGAATACGGAAGGAAGCAGTCATCCCCTAATTTGAGGTGCTATCATTGCATTTGCTTGGAGGGACTAAGGAAAACCACAAAAGCCTCAACTTAACAGAATAGAAGCCACATGTGCCATCATTTCCACCACCTCACTCAGCGGAGACGGATTAGAAATGCACACAACAACTACAGATTCTAAAGGGTTCTGACGATGGTGTATAATACTCAGAAATACTGGGTTTTTAGACTTTATCCATTGTACGGTATTCCAGAAACTTGAAAACTTGTACAGTGATTGAGGTTAGCTCTTCTTAAAGGACCTAACTGAGTAGGTATCTTCTCCCCCCAAGCCAGACAGAAACAGATCCAGTTTCCAAAACATTTTTTCTAGTTTCTCGAATATCGGATGATAGACAAAGTCCAAAGACCCAGTAATTCTGAATACATAACTACAGTTTGGAAACCTAAGACAGGGAAGAGACCACTTGAGAAATTCAGGTATATGGTATGGTATAAGAGAAATTCGTATATGGAAGAATAATATTAAGGTGATCTTGGGCCGCGCCGTAGCTCAAGCGGTTAGTCGTTGGCTTCCCGCCGCGGCGGGCAAGTGCAATCCCAGGTCTGGTCAAGTGGGATTTGTGGTGGACAAAGTGGGCCTGGGTCAGGTTTTCTCCGAGTACTTCAGTTTCCCCTGCCAATCTTCATTCCACCAATTGCTCCGCAATCACCCTCACCTATCATCTGGGGCTGGTACAATAGGCCAGAATTGGCCGCAGTAAAAGGGACTTAGTCCCACTCCACTAGCAATAAAAAAATAAGGTGGATCTTAAAGAAACAGGATGAGAGGGTATAACCTGGAACCAAGCAGCTCGGAAGAGGGTGAAGTAATGGACTCCTGTGAACATTGTAACAACCTCTGAATTCTATATAGGGCAGGAAATTTCATGTCCAGCTGAGTGGCTACTAGTTTCTCCAAAGCTGAACCCAAGTACATACCTGTCATGCTCTTTCTCAACAAGATGGTAGCGGGCCCTGAACGCAACGAGGTGTGCATAGTATGCAGGCGCGGGTATGGAAACAGATCGTGTGCACCTCACATACGTGTGACACAGTTGATACGTGAGGCACTGGAGTTCATCCGAGTCAAAATGGTTGTCATCCCAGAGGACGTGGTAGTGACTAGGTCGACTTGTTCCCTGAAATTGAGAACAGGTCAGCTCTGAAGCATGGCAAACACATCACACGGCATGTCACACAAAATGAAGGGAAGTATCCACAACACTGGATTCATGTCAATTCAAGTGGATCAGAACAGGGCCACTGGCTTGCTCTTGTGAATACAATGATGAACCGTCGACGGAATTTCCTCCACGTAGTTCAGTTAGTGAGCTAACCAGATTGGCAGGTGGGCGGGCGGGCAGGCACATTGGGAGGTAGGTATGACTGGAGGGAACATTGCACATGTATGAGCACAAAGTTCCAAAATGGCATGAATTAGGATCTGAATGTATGGGAAGTTAAGTCACATCAGATCCATATCAATACAGCATTTACATTATTTATGTACCTCTTATACACTTTCACTAATATTCACTTGATACAATTTTCCTTAAGCTGCTGCAATTTGTACAATAACATCCACTACACTGGTGTACAAATTCCATAAATGATGAATTGTGGCGTGAAGCCATCAACTATAATATGGATATACTGGAATAATCTAATGGATCACAGGACTTTTGCACAAGGCACAACCAGTGGCAAGAATACTGTGCGGTATTTGCTCAAGACAAGAACTGTGAAGCCAGCAGAGACAGCCTTTGCTAACGAACAGCTCTGTAAAAACACACCCACTTCTATAAAACAGATTCACATGCAACAGTGGAGTAACTGGGAAGTGGTGTTCTGCACACAGTCCATGCTGACAGCTACATGATGAAACAGAAGAAAAACTGTTGAGAGGTGTTTTCTATGTGGTCCATGCCAAGACGACTTAAGGAGTCAACTGTGCATTGTGAGTCAGTTCGGCAGTTGGAAGCCAGTTAGTCCAATTTGGAACTGCAGCAGAAAGGTGTCAGCCAGCAACGGACAGGAGTCGCTGGACACAGAAACTGAGGATGCTACACTGCTGGAAGCTGCTACCAAGCAGCAATTTGACTGACAACACCGGTCCATGTGGGGGAGTGATTTCTAAACTGTAGTGACAATTTTCAGTGAATGTATCCTGTTGTGTATTATGTATTTTATTGAAAGTTGTCACAACACAACAATTAATAATACATGTTTGTAGTATCAAGTAGTACTTTACTACATGTTTCAGCTTTCAAGAAGCCATCATCAGGTAAATACACTTAAAAACTTCTTAGCTACTGAACTGTGTGCTAATTACACGATGTAGTATCAGATTTCTGAAATAGTATACAATAATATAAAATATAAAATTAGATTAAAAGTAAAAGTCTTAACATGGACTAGTTACATAATTAAAGTACAGTTAAGGGTTGTACATATAATTATATTCCAAAGTATGTCGTTGTAATGATATATGGTGTTGCTTATGCGGGCATGTATACACAGACGGCTGTTGTGGTCCTCCGAGATCCGTTGCTATATTGTGTTATTATTTAATTCTGATTTCTATTTGACAGGAGCCTCCGTTTATGTTTATATGTCCAATCTGGTGAAGAGATGGATTACAAGTTGTGCATAAAAGTGCGAAATAAATCCAAACTACAGTCTACTGCCTGAAGAATCTCTGGAACAATTCTGAAGTGAATGCCACGAAGTGGTTCCTTCATCTTAGGAATAAAGTCGAAGTCACAAGGGCTTAAGTCCGGGTAGTACGGTGGATGGTACAGCACTTCCAGCCCCATCGATCGAACAAATCAGCCACAGCTTGTGCGGCATGTGGCCAAGCATTTTCCTGCAAAATGATGGGTGGGTTCTGCAGAAAGTGTCACCGCTTCTTTCCCAAAGCTGGTTGCACGTTGTGTTCCGAAAATGAACAGTATTACTGCGCACTGACGGTCTGCTGTCGGGGAATGGTATGCGTTAGGATAACACCATCACAGTCGTACACAAGAATCACCATAACTTTCACATTGCTGGGGTTCTGACAAACTTCTGATGTTTGTGGTGGCCCATAATGACACCATTCATTCGAGTGGCGTTTCATTTGTGGCTCGTATGATTTGGCCCATGTCTCATCCATCGTAATGATACGGCGTAAGAAAGCCTCTCCTTCGTGCTCATAGTGCTCCAAGTGGTTACGAGCAGCGTCGTATTGTAGCCATTTCCATCAAATCATGCGGAACCCATCGTGATGCAGTTTTTCTCATGCCCAGGTGTTCCTTCAGACTGTGAAGCACAGTCATATATGCTGAGAATGGCTCTCGGGCCAGCTTACGAATGATATGGTGTCGATCACTCTCCAGTAACACGGAAAGAGGATACACTTCTTCTTCACTGACACTAGGATGACCTGGCCAACACATGTCTGCCACATCTTGACGTCCCTCGTTGAAGGCTTTTACCCACCTTGCCACTGTTCTGTAAGGCATTGCAGATTCCCCACAAGCCTCCTGTAGACCGCCAGCTAACATGAGGCTCTGTTTTTCTCATCACTGCATGTGCGCGTGATGTGTGAAGGCAGAGTCCATTTGCTCTGAGGTAAGGTAGGTATGTAACTAACGTGTGGTATAAGCGACATTGTTTGGATCCGTTGCATGGCGTCTCTACAGCAGTGTTGCCACTATTAAAGTTCCAACCCTCGTACTAACATTCCCTGTTGCAGTTCAATTTGTTTTTATGGCATTACATACAAAGATCTGATCACCCCAATGCATAACATTTCCTTGCTTTCTCCACTTTTCTTCATAATACAAAACCTGCTTTCAACACCTTTACCAGAGATAAACAAACAGAAAACCCACAAAAACATGCTTCTACAGTCATGATACAACCCACACCCAAGTACAGTCCTTGTAAAGATGACAAATACAGCCATACTTAGCCCAGCCATACACTGTGTAAGGTAGGAAGATCTCCTTTGCTGTCTATACAGACCTGGCTTGCATACAACCATAAATGCAGCCATAAACTTAAGCCTCTGTCATTTCCACTGAAGTGCCAGCAGAATGTGCGCGATCAACAACCCCAATTAATGTGACACCATCTGTACTCAAATGGAACAAACCTTGGCAATGAACACGCTGGCCCTCTGACTGCCTATCTCCAAACATCAAGCATACTGAAAATAATTCTTTGAACACAAACTGTACAGGTATTGTGTAACTTCAGCTTTTAGTGCTTAGCCACGATATGTGTTGAGGTCTCTCCTATGTTTCAGCATACATTTCAGTTACCACTTTCAGGGCACACCATCCAGCTGTCTTAGGTGGCCCAATGCACAGATGCTCCAATGTGAGCAAGGTTGTAGATTTGGAGAGCGGTACTGCACACTGGGAAGGGACTCAGTGGTTATGGAGAGTGTTTATAGAAATAGAGATGAAACCCGACTTTACTCAGACTGAGTCCATCTTTGTTGCTCAAATTAAGAGCATTATTTTGACAGCTTCCTGATGATGCGCAGGTAGCAAAAATAGATGTTTGCTAGGGGCTTCTATTTGAGTTTCTTTATTGAAGTTGATTATTTAATGGCACTGTCAGTAATGAGATTATAAAGCATCAATGTTGGAGTGATTAGTGACTATCTGCAGTTGTTGCAATGAGAACCAGCATGGGGAACCTGCCCCAGCGCCATTTTGTCTGCCAAAGATCCCATATGACCTGACCTGAAATCATATCCAGGTAGACACATTAGTGCCCAAGATCAACCCAATCAATGCTGACACTGTAAGAGTTAACCCATACAGCTCTTGTAACATACCTGAATTCCTTGGTGGCTACACAGGTAGAAGTCAAATTCTGTTGGATGTGTAATACCCACATCAACAGTTGTTCCCGCTGGTATGTTGCCAGATTTACCTGACTGCTCCTTTTTGTCAGCACAAAAGAGCCTGCAGATAAAACATATCATTAATAAATAGAGGAAAACACATACAGTAAAACTTGGTTATAGCAACATCGGTTTCTGCGACACCTTGTCTATTGTGTCAAATATTCAATGGTACGAACTAATTCCTCATAAAGCAACTGTTTTTATACCTTGCTTAGTACGACATGCACAGATGCATCAACCTCGTATGTATCGTCATTTTCATTCCTGAATTTCTCTGGTATGGACATTGAACGTAATTTAGAAAGTGTGTATTGGGCAAGTAACAGGAAACAGATGAAGATAACTGATTACTATACCCGTATCTATGTACAGTAAGGCACAACAATTGTTGTAATCTACTGTAATTTCGTGAGTAGGCCTACCTTTAATATACAGTATTAGTGCGGTGTGTATTGTCAGTGAAAAGCGCTGTAATATGTCTTTGATATTACACATTTGGGCAATTCCATGTTAATGTTACGTTAGTCTGTACTTAACTACGTATTTCACTAAAAAATGCAACATTTTAACTCGGTTTTTGGTAGATTTTTACGTGACTAACATAAGGCTACTGTGGAAGTGCCCATTTCGGTTACGACGACATTCGTTTATAACGACACCATTTTTAGGTCCCTTTGATGACGTTATAACCAAGTTCTACTGTATATAAATGAAATTCCATTATGGGAGAATTTTGATATTACAAGACTTTCTAAAATTAGCAGCAAAACTGCTCATTCTAACAGCTATTCATAATATCCAAGAATTGTCAGAATATGTAACTATGAGCCTGACCCTAATCCCCCCTAGAGAATGAGAGTGTGTGTGCGCACGTGTATGTGATGCCTTTATACATTCTGATCCATTAACGGCCATCTTCAGAAGGCAAATAACAACATGATCAGGATAATATTACACAGTACATCAAGTTCAAAGTTTTGTATAAATATTTTAAAAGAGATAAAATGTGGTAAGTTAAATTATTAACAAAATTCTTAATATTCAAAAATCTTAGTGCTTTACATGAGAAATGCATGAACAGGGGGACACTCAGTGATGCAAGATAAACGATAATGGAGGCAGTGCATAATAAGGGAATTTCTGCAGCTGGAAATGATTCACTAATACATATCAGTTCTCTCTGTCTCTGTTCCTGTGAGATCATTCAGAAATCTATTTCATGTTCTCATTTATGGTACTGAATTGATATAGTAAAATATACAGTTGAACAGCAAGGTTTACATATGACACATGAAAATAATCACGTAAATCATGTAAAAGAAAGTTCTGCCACTAATATCCTGGCCTTTCAGTTCCACCCTGCATTCAACTGGATCTTTCTTAGGTAAGATATACCCAAGGAAGGGTTCAGGAAAGCTGGTCCCAAATTAGAACATTCACCTTGAAAATTCATGACACAATTAGCTTAGCAGGCACAACAGCATGGAGTGGCTAGAAAGTTATGTCTATTGCTATATATAAAATTAGGTTCAAAGCCAGAGAGGAATGCATTTTTATCAGTCGTTTGCGAAAGAACCCCACACTGGCATTCTTGATCCAAAACTTAAATTTTTTTGCTGATGACTCTTAGTTCCATCTGACTGGGTATATCAATGCCCAAATAATACATACTAAAGAACTATTCATCCAAGACAGATTTCTGAAGTACTCCTTCATGAACAGAAGACTGCTATGCAGTGTGCCAGTACTGCTACAAAAATAGGAGAACCCACATTTTTTTAACACACTATTAATTCAGAGTGGCATGTCAATGACATTATTCATCACTTTCTTAAGAGCATTACAGAAAAAAAACATGGTTATTTTAAGCAAGACAGTGGTACAGCACACACTGCTATACATCCCATTAATATTGTGGCGTATTTACGCCAAGGAAGAATTCTTGAGCCAAAGAAATCTGTAAACATAGCGATTATGCAGCAATAAGGAAAGCGGTGTTTTCTCCATGCTGTGCCAACCCAAGTCGCACCACACTCATTGCTACGCAGTGCTGCAGTAAACACATCTCGGCAGCAGCTAATCAACGTATTGCTTAGCAACACCTCTGTACACAACAGGGAGCAAGCTGTGTTTCCATGTCTGATCGAGGGCTTATAGAAGAGACTGAAATACCTAAGTCAGTTCTTGGAGTGAGCCCTCAGTCAGTTCTCAGTCAGTTCTTGAGGTGAGTTCTCGGAGTCAGTTATGAGCTATGAGAGAGAAACAGTAGCTGCAGAATCACAAGAAGAGATTGAACTAGAAGTGACGGTGAGTGTGTGTGGCAGTTCAGTTCAGTTAAAGCTACGAGAGAGAAATAGCAGCGGCAAAAGCACACAAATTGGAACCAGGATTGCAGAAGAATATAGGTGAGCCTGTGAGGATGTAACATGTGATTTGAAAGTTTTATGAGTGTGATAATCAGTGTTAGTGAGTGACAGACGAGAAGTCAGCAGTGTCAACTTACTGTGTAAACTGAAGGCTTTATTTGGAGTGTACAATTCAGTGAGACTTGTACAGCTCCAAGTTAGAAATAGATGAAAACTACTGCAGACAGGCTGAGAAGATTAGTGTGTAGTGATTGTAAACTGTGTAAACCCACAATAGTGTAATAATTAATCGTAGTTACAACCCGTTTGAGGAGAATATTTGGACCAAAGAGAGATGAAGTGACAGAAGGTTGGAGAATACTGCATAATGAGGAGCTTCATAACTTGCACTCTTCTCCAGGTATAATTAGAATGATCAAGTCAAGGAGGATGAGGTGGGCAGGTCATGTAGCACGAATGGGGGAGACGAGGAATGCGTATAGGATATTGGTGGGAAAGCCATGAAAGGGACAAGTCAGGAAAGACAAAGGTGTGATCCTAGTAACATATGTTAGGATATCAGGAAGAACCATATAGCACAGGTAGGAGAAAACCCATCAGGTGATAAGATGAAGGATGATGATGGAAACAGTAACATTCATATTACATTACACTTCATTACATTTTATTATTGTTGGGAAGGGTGAAGAATGTATGATATGAAAAGAAGTTGTGCTTTTGGCTGAATAATATGTTGTATGTATGAGTATTATCCTGCAAACAGGTTTACAGGCTTTTTAACTCTGCACAGACTTGCCTGCTTGCTCACCCCAAGAATATTAGCACAGTGGAACTATAATCTAATGCCCAGCAATTTATGGATTTCCTTCATTTAACATTTAGATTTCATAATCCCAAGTTGACAAACTCACCACTGAACTTCTTCTATTTAAGATTTATCAGCTTAGTACTCAAATCCAACACTCAACAAAGAAACCCTGATAACAGGTTTCACCTCATTTAGGCTCACATTAAAACCTTTAATTACCACGTGACCAATGTAAATTGGGCAAGAACATGGGAAACTAAACAGTGAGTGAATTAAATTAATGATTAAGTGGCAGTTTTTTTGGGTCCCCCCCCCCCCAAGAGGTGTGGACAAGAACAGACAAGATGAAGTTGATCATGAGTGGTGGCAGCATATGAAGTACCATGAGTTGATCTGACATGCCTTAAGCTCATATTCATAGCAGTGGAATCAAGAGCCAGGTCTCCCACTACTGTGACTGTAGCATTACACCTGGAAATGGAACTGGCTAGCTGGCCCCTTCTGTCAGTGGTGATCCATTACAGACACAAGAAGGAAATCACACAGTAATGGTAAACTCTGGGAAAAATAGATCCTATCATGGATGAACAGATGTGGTATAACAAATGTAGGTGTTCAGTATGCAAACAAAGGAAGCATAGAGGCCAATAATACACATATGAAATTTGCTGCAGATGACATTATGCAACAGACAATATGATTGCTTCCAACCTTCTGGCCTTGCTTCAGAGTCTATTACCTGCTACTCACCTTTTCAGACTCTGAACACATCATCTTGTCATTTTTTCCCCCTTGCTTAAATGAAATGAGCGAAACATACATTCTTAATTTCATAATAAAATATGAGTGTGCACGGACTGCAATGAAATAAAGCATACTGTATTCAGGTGACAAGATATGAACATGCTTAGTTTTTCTGTTATTTCTTAACGCAACTCATTACAGTCTTCAGTATGGTATTCATACATTAATATCAGCAAAAAGCAGAAGCTGATAGGTTTAACTGCTGCATTATTGTGGCTTCTAGTGATAGCAGTACCACGAAACAACAGTAACGCAGCATCAACTGTTTCAGACCATTTAAACAGAAATGTATCAGACAAACAGTGGCCCATATGGTCTTTACCAAGTGGTACAAGTTGCTAACCTTGTGTGATGCCTTTTCTGAACTACGATGAATGTGATGCCCGGTTTGTAGTCTCCTTCCAACTTGATGCAAGCTTCTCTGATCGCTGTGAGCTCATGCTGCAGAACCTGTACCAACAGCACATGAAACATGTTTAACATTTACCTGTGGGAACACAAATCACTGGAGGCCAGGCAATGATGCACTGACCCTTCATTTATATTCAAAATGTGCAACACACAAGTTTATTCTCTTTAAGCAGAGCACACTTGCATGAAACCAGATTTACATAGTGCATAGCATCACAAGTGAAACTGGAATACTGTATGCTGCAACCATTGTTACAATTCAACCACAATAAGCAATAAATCTGCAATAAGAGCATACAAACAAAATTTCAATTTTCTTTGTCACACTTTATTGTGTTACCTTCTATGCCACTTCACAACTGGAGCTTTTACTTCCATGAAAGGAAAGGTTTGGAAAAAATGCCATGGAGAGCAACAACTATCTTCCAGGATACTGGTAAAAGCTTACCGCCATTTCAGGGGAATCTACTGGCTCAATCTCCAGGGTCAAACAGGCCTGTACCAAACAGGCAAGGAGAGTGCTCTGTATCCCTGAAGATCAAGGCAGTATACCACCTTATACCACAAGTAAACTTCCACATCACACACAGTCATATCCAGAAGATACTACCCACAATGCTACAAATGTTTCCTGATCCTACATGTAATGTCACAAAGACACTTACTAAAAGGTGAAATAACAAGCAAAGTCAACTGAAAATTATATGTATAAAAAAAAAAGGTAAAGCTATCCCTGTAACAGGCTGTGGAGGCCCATAGGGTTGTGAGACGTTGAGAGTCCCACATTATCTAGACAATCAGCTCACAGATGGCCGTGAAGTTGTCAGCCTTATGTGCCGGCTGCCCTTTAATCCCAAAAAGATTCCTGGTACTCATTTCTGCCAGGGGCTGAGTCAACCCCAGGGCCATAGTGCAGCTGGATGAATTACGCCAACTGAAAAAGCCAGTGGCCTCATCAAGAACCGAACCCATGACCTACTGATTTGAAACACAGTGTCCCAACCAACTATGATACTGAGTGCACCCATGTATAAATGTACATATACTTAAATGCAGATTGGAGGAAAATAGTAAAATGAATTTTAAAACAGAAAAAGAAAGGACAGGGACTGGATTGATCAGGTTTAGTACAGGGACCAGTGGAAAGCCTTATTGACCAGAAAAATAAAATTTTGGGTTCAAGAGAATGCTGGGAATATGGGTGGTCAAGAATTACTAGCTTCTCAAGGCGAACCCAGCTCCATGAAGTTACTTGAACAGCAGCTTGGAGTACTTAGCCCTGAGAATTGTTTTCAGTGAACTTCATACTGAATCATGTCAAGAAAATAAGGTATACTCAACTGGATGATAATACAAGCCCCATGAAATGGTGTGAAAGATTTGCCTGCCAATGACTTTCATTCATCCACCTCCCACAAATTTAGTGATTCATACAGTCATATTTACTGACATAAATATGACACGTTTATTTATTACTAGTTCTACTGTATTTCCAAATGAAGAACTGCTACTGACACTCACATGGAGGAACTGTCCTTCAGATACTCCGTCCCGGTACAGAATAATCCGATGTGGTTTGTAGCCTCCTGTACTCTTGTAAAACATGATCAGCAATTCTCTGAAATATACAATTTGTGTTGCATTAATAGGCTGATAAAACATGATACCATGTAACACATATGTGCCCTTCATATAGAACATTACAACTGATGCCCTCTGGCATTTCCATCAGGTCAATTCCTTGCCTCTTGAAAATAAATTAGATTTTCAAAAATTGATAATATTTGGGACTACTGAGTGTCAGGATATGCCCACAAATTTTGGACAACCAGCTTTATTTCCCAAGATACAACATAAGGCAATACATAAATTTTGAGAAACTAAAAGAAATATGAATGATGAGCTTCATAACTTGTACTCTTCTCCAAGTATAATTAGAATGATCAAGTCAAGGAGGATGGGGTCGGCAGGGCATGTAGCACGAACGGGGGAGAAGAGGAATGCGTATAGGATACTGGTGGGAAAGCCAGAAGGTAAGAGACCACTGGGAACATCAAGGCATAGGTGGGCGGACAATATTAAAATGGATCTTAAGAGAGACAGGATGGGATGGTATTTATTGGATTGATCTGGCTCACGATAGGGACCAATGGAGGGCTCCTGTGAACATGCCAATGAACCTTCGGGTTCCATAAAATGCTGGGAAATTCTTGAGTAGCTGCAGATTTGGCTTCTTCTCAAGAAGGGCTCAGCTCCATAAGTTAGTAAGTAAAAAAAAAGAATGACATGATATTTTCCAGCTGGAGCACTTCTAATTCATGGTTTTTCTTTTGCTGCTCAGGACCAGCATTAAGTGATGGAAACTTTAAAATGCCAATATCAGACTCTGTGGAGCCATTTTACAGTTATTTTTAGCCAAAACTATTAAAACTAACATACAACAGGATAATGTATTTCTTTATTCTTGATAATGTGACATGACACCTGAAAGGTGGAATAGTGGAGCCAGATGAGATGGCTGCTCCTAGGCAACCGCTCAGTAAACATGTTCCGTGGCAAGGAACACACATGCAATAACAGAACAATGGTTGGAAGCAGTGTTTTCGATGCAGCCCATGCTAAGGCTATATAATGAGGACCAATGGGACAAGCCAGTCATGAGTTGACCATCACTTGTAGCTGGTGGTTAGCCATGAGCAGAGCTTTTAGAACCCACTACAGCAACACTCAGTGAAGACACAACTGCGTCAGATGACTCAGTGTGTACAATGGTGACTTGTAGAGCATGTAGATTAGTGAGCCTCAACATTTGTAGTTATGAGTCATAAGCATTCCATAAATTCAATTAACAATTCAAAACCCTGTCTAGTCATTAGCATGTAACAATACTTTCATAATTTATGCAACTAATTCTCTGAGATACCTTTATTAAACATTTTACCACTCTTCTTCTCCTAAAAATTGGGGTGTACATCACTCAGAAAGGAACATGGTACACAAGTAAATGCTACATTATGTAACATGATGTATGCAGGTCCCCTAGCACCATTAGAATGGTGAAGTACAGCAAGCTGTGATTGGCTGGGCCTGCAGTACTGTTGGCAGGAAAACAGCCACTTTGAAGCCCAAGGAGATGGAGGATAACATCAGGATGAACCTCTAGGAAATAAAATGTTAATGATGGCTCAGGGTCATGTTCAAAAACCAACTTTAGTACCAGTCGTGCTACTGGCGTTACTTACCTGACCATACTGCTGAGTTCCTGTATGATCTCCTGCCGGTGCTGCTGGACCCTCACAGTGGCTGCATAGCGTGATGGGTGTGCATCCATTGAGCCTACAACTGCTGCTATTGAAGGCTTCTTGTTGTCACCAGCAGGGGGGTGAGTAACATCCGCCCCCAGGAATATCACAGGTTCATTAAATACCTAAGCAAGAAAGGAGGAGTGAACACCACTGAACTCCACACTTGCCCTATGGAGAAAGGGAATGTTCAGTGTTCCTGAACACCAGTTCAACATACTGAAAATTGTATAATTTTCACAAGCGTTTCACTTTTAAAGAATAAAAAGATCCTGCAAACAAATACTTGGCACTCAGCCAGTCTGAGCTGCAGCAAGAACCAAATTAACCTGACTGTGTATAGCATTGTTTAGAGAAGAACATATTATATTCTCAAAAAACAGGATTCTGGTTTCCTCCATGTAGTTTATTTTTGCTAACATGTCCATTTCATATTTTATCAAAACAAAATGAAAGGTTGATAAGAATAAAGTAAAGAATGACAGAGGTGAAATCCAGAAAAGAACAAATGGATCAGTTATCAAATAATTCTGTCTCAACTATAATGGTTAGTGTCAAATGATGAGTGAATGATCACATTCAGTTAAGTCCTACTTCTTTACATCCCTGGGGAAGTCTCTTACACTGGTAACATTTACAACATACGTGCCTACAAACCATAAAGACATCATGCCCCTTGACATCTCTAACTTTCCCTTTCCTCCTAAGAGCCCATGGGCCAGCAGGCAGACAGTTGCAGATCCCCACACCAGTATTTCATGAGATGAGGACACAAATGCTAGTGCTTTACTGGATACATCTGACCACACTCGTAATATTCAAACCGAAGAGGATTAAGTGTGAAGTCTTAAATAACATAATTATATACTTGTAAATACATTTAACCAAAATCTATGACCAAAAGTTGCACGTAACAATACACTGCCAGAACATATGCCCTCCCATACCATTTTTTGACCCACTAATTTTCCTACCACATCAATGATTTTAGTTCCCACAGAATTCATGTGTCATTTAATCTGAATTTCCTGGGTTCACTGCCACTTTGTGACTAGCCAAATTTCCTTTCCAACCATTAGCTACTCTGAAGGGTTAGTCACAATTCTGAAATCATTAATTCAGCTTGTGATTGTTTTCAACGTGTCATTATATTGAGTTTCCCAAGCAATATTTTTTTGTGACTCACCAACCTCTCTGTTCAACTGCTGGATTCTCTGTTTTCTACTTATTCAGTATTGTTGTTGTTGTTGTTGTTGCTGTTGTTTAAATTATTAGCTGAGTATGCTGCATGCACTGCAGTTATTTTATTTCAATCTGTGAGTTTAATAAGGCATGATGGTAACATACAAGGAAAGAAATACCACTTCTTTAGAAGAGAAACTCAACACACTATGGAGTATTAACAAACTCGTGGAATTGCATTTCCTGTGCAAAAGAGTATGATTATGAGTGATCTCTGACTACAATAATAGAAAACCAATGTGTCACTAAAGAATATGGGGAATTTTGGACCTATGGCAAAGGATAAAAAAACAAAGATATTCTAAGAAATCAATATGATCTGCAAGAGAGACTGTGCAATAAGTTTCACACTGCTTAACAAACGATTTCATCCTGCATCACAATACTGTATATGTCACGTTTCTGTGAGTTTACATGTTATAATGTGCCCACATTACTTTCTGAGCATTCAAGTTAAGGGTTAAGGTAAAGGCAAACACTAAGCTTACGATTATTTTATTTTCCTGCAATTTACACAACTTTTCACCTGACTACAGAAAAGTGCATATAAGGAGTCCCACTGTATCCACATACATTTAACCACAAGGGGTGAAATTTTAAGGTAAAAACACCATACCTTCTTTCACACCATTTGTCTTAAAACAGGAATCACTAAATTGTACAAGTATGGTACTCATCAGATTACACGCCGCAAGCCAAACAACATGAACAGAAGTGGGAATCTACTTTAAATTCATGTATAAAGAAACTGTATAAAACATCACACAGAAATAGAAGATGTCTGGGGAAAAGACCGACCACTTAGTGATGTTGCAGCAGTCATACCTACAGCCACTTCACCCAATTCCATATTTAGGGGCAATCAGGATTTATGTTCTTATGACTAACTCATAATGTACATTTCATAATGACACAACACCCATCAGATAAGATCTCATATTTTTACTATATCTGCATCCATTCATCAAAGAGAGTGGTACTGCAATCAGAACTGTGGCCCTGAAAATAACATCACACTGAAGTTCTATGGGCACAGAAGTTTCAAGGTTTCATATTTCTTAGTTTGAGGATGAAGAGCAATTCTTTATGATGTCCACTGAGAAATTACTGAAGATACAATACTAATGTTAATACTGAACACTATATGTAAGTGACATTTTAACACATTATTTTCTTAAATATTTATAGTAACTGTGCCTATTAAACCACACTTTAATAAGCTGCACAGTGTGATCACAGAAGATTATGTAGAAAGTAAGACTAATTGCCTGTGCTATATAAATTCATTATATCAATTTACATTAATGGTTATATTGTGACGTGGACGGCGCAACTCTCGGTAAACACCCCCCCCCCAAGTGGTGATGTAACAGCATCGGAGTCACTGCCACTGCTACGGTAACAGGCCCATCAACACTCTGCCCCCCTCCCCTGCGGTGACATAACACAGGACACCGCTGTTAACACAAGGCAACAGGGAACAGTATAAAAAGCCGGCTGAGCAGTGTGGTGATCAGGAGCGACACAGTGTGATCGTGAAGTCGCCAAGTGCAGTGGAAGTCTAGCAGTCGCCGAGAACAGTGGAAGTAATTGTGATGCTGCCTGCCAATGGCAGTAGTTGTGAGACTGTAAATNGAAGGTACATAACAAAGAGTATTCGTCAGTGTAACCAGAGTTACTAGAGAGAGTAACCAAAGTAACCAGTCAGATGCAGTCTAGCATTCGCCGGAGTGAATGGAAGCAGAAGTAATTGTAATACTGGTGGTGGCAGTAGTTGGGAGATTGTAAATTGTGTAAATGTAAGAGTGAATGTGCAATAAATTCGCTATATCCAATATGGTGTGAAGTTATTTGTCACGTTACATACCCAACACGTCACAATATGACACAATGTTATATTTTAGCGTCCTGTTGCACTGATTTAAGTTCATGATTTGTTTATTCCGTCTTGCAGTGCATACACTTATCTATCTTCTTCTCTCACTTTCACTACATGTTTCGGCATAAGAATGCCATCTTCAGGTGCTACTCAATTCACGTCAAACTAGTACATTGTATGCCTTGTCTTCACTTTAAAATAACTAAAATATATGTCCATCATATATATTGACAAATGTCAATCGTAAAAATATTAAAACTGTTCAGGGTTC